CTGCGTGCTGCCGGAGGTGCCTCCTGAGGAGCGGGGTCGTGTGTTGACGTGAATTCTTTGTCTCTGCAGTTCTTAAAGAACAAGGTGGGAAAGACTGAGAAAGCTGCCATCCCCTACAGCCAGCCTGTTCACAGTTTACATCTGTGTGAACAACCAAAGATTAATAGACAGAAGAGTAAATGTAACATGCCACTGACAAAGACCTCCTCAGCAAAAAAGATAGAGAACTTTTGGCAAGATTCTGTATCGCCAGACATAATTCAGAAGCAGGAGAAAAAGCCACTTAAAAACACAGAGAACTTCAGAAATGCCAAGTCCAAGAAACCTATCACCCTAACTGAAGCGAGCCAAAAAGAAAATTACGCTGGGGCAAAATTTAGTGACCCACCATCTCCTAGTGTCCTTCCAAAGCCTCCCAGCCACTGGGTGGGTGGCACAGCTGAACCGTCTGACCAAAACAGGGAGTTGATGGCAGTCCATTTGAAAACTCTCCTAAAAGTTCAAGCGTAGTTTCCAAGATCTCTTGAGTAATTGGCAAAGAAAACTCCATCCAGGAAACTTAAACATGCCTTGTTGCAACAAAAATTGCAAAAGACTGTCAAGTCTTATAATCACATTAAAAAATTCTTGTATTATATTTTTTATGGTTGTGTAAATAGTGTACATCATGTATTATGTGTATATTCTTGTTCATACTTTGAGAGGTACATTTTAGTTTTGTTATGAAAGGATGTATTTTGCACTGCCTGAATGGTAGATGTCTTGTATATAAAATATGGACAATTTTAAGTGTGTGTTTGACACATGAAGACTTGACTTGATTTGCACAAGGTAATGAAAATTTTGGAAGGAGAGTACAGCTTTCTGATTTTAACGTTCCAGATCAAATGTGAATGTTTTATTCATGCACTACTGACAATAGTTTTACATTCTGTGTCCCAATTGAGTATAAACATGGAATTTTCATCCAAATGTGAAGTATTGCTCTCTGCTTTGGAAACAGTATCTGGAATTCCTGTCCATCTGTTTGTTTTTAAAATTAACTGGAATTTAAGTAAAATTCCAACCCATCAATTTGAGCACTGCTGATTTCTTTAAAGAAAAAACAAAAAAAAAAAAAAAAAAAGAAAAGAAAAGAGCAGAGCTTTCTGCCAAAAATCCAATTGGTCACTAAAAAATTAAATAAAACAATTTGGCCTCCCCTTAAGCATGTCTCTGTTTTTCTTCTGTGCGTGTGTGTATGTGTGTCAGTTCAAGTATGTGAACTTAAATTACTTGATTGCCTTCTAGTGCATCAGTAGGAATACTTTGTCCTTCTCAACATTTAACTATCCAAATAATTAAGAGATTTGATAGCTCATTAAGAATTCCTTGTGTTTTTAAAAAATGTTTCCTTTGTGGTATGTCATTTTAGGTTCCTTAGCCTTTTGTTTCCTGAAAATTCAGACTTCAAGAAAGTTGGGCAATTACACAAATTCATGCTGTAATGCTTCTTAACTATTTTCATAGTAAGTGGTTATTAAACTAGTTGATGCTGAAAAGTAGCAACGACAGAAAAGTATGGATGGGGCAAGTTAAACTTCATATTTTTCACCAGATTTGCCTCTTGCTGGTAGCTGTGCTGGAAATTACATTCCTCTGATCTAAAATTCTTAAGGAATTAGACTGTAGATTAGTCTGACAGGCATGTTGAGGAGATAACCTAGATTTGCAGTTACTTTACTAATCTAGTATTTAAATAAGATTAATGAAACAGGAAATAGGTGAAATTTACATAAGATGGAAAAGCATTTTTAAGTTTTCAGATTCACTGAAAAAAAAGTATTCTCTGGGCTCTAGTGTACTAGGAGGGATAGTAGGAAGGAAGCGCTAGCAGCAGGGTCCCAGCTGAGGTGGTTCCTTAGCGTAAATGGTGTTTTCAGAGATGTACAGTGAGCACCGTTAGCTGCGTTCATGCCACGTGCACTACTGCTTCCGATATATAGCATCACTTCGTTCTGTGCGTGTCAATTGGCAGTATTTGTTAACATAGCCCTGAAATGAGATTGGTCGAAAACTAAGGGAGAATTTCTTTGCTTTGTTCATAGAAATTAATTACATAGTTGCAAAATCTTTCATTATAATGCTATTAGGCTATTCAGCTATGTATGTTCTAAACTAAGAGAACATACAAAATTTTCGGTTCCCCCCAAAGACTTCCAGGTTCACTGTCTTGCAAAATAGACCTGTATTACTTGGTTAATGATGGTACATGCTTGAGGTAAATGTTATGGCTTCAGCAGCCCAGTTTGCTGCCTAATCTAAATACGCCATAATTTAGTGTGTGCTAGCTTGTCTTCTGAAAATGAACAAAAAGTCCTCCTTTTTTAATTTTTTAACAAACAGTATTAAGGCAAAGACAAATTCTAGTACAATCTCACTAAGGATGACTCAAGTAGATTGTAAGTCCCAGTTTACTATATTTGGTATATGCTGTATTGATCTGCTGTTGTGCTTTTTTTTTTTTCTTCTCCTCTTTTGCCTAAATGTCATTGAGCACAAAGGAAAATGCCTTTAGCAATTCCTATAGCTTTAGGCAATGATTAATTTTGTCAGCTGAACTTGTGGTCCTCTTGAATCTTGATAACTAGCTTGACAAGAGCTAGTTTCCATCAGCCATGTAGGTTGGCATTATTTAAAAGGAGGTATCCGTTTTTTCCTGATTATTACCTCTGTTACCATCAGCCTCTTTTCTTCCCTGCCCCTTGGAGCTGACATAAAATTATATAGTTTGAATGCTAACTTTGATCCTACATAAAATTTACAAACATAACATACCTCTTTGTTTCTACCCTGATTTGCTGACATATCCCTGGGGATTACAAAATTCATTAAATGTAAGTGCTGATAGTTCTCAGCTCCTCAGCCAATTCTTTTAAAGCTGTTGGATAAGACTTCTGAAGTCTTGAAAATTTAAAACTTTCCATACCTTGTTGGACTGTAAAGGTAACAATGTTTCATCCGGTCTTTCCAAACAGTGTTAAAAAAAAGCTTACTTAGCTTACTTCAGCCTCAGTATCGCTGGTCCTGTTGTGATCTGGCAGAAATCTTGGGACACTTCATGTTTCTATCTTCTTAAGATCTTTGGGTTGAATACCTTCCTGGCCAATGGACTGGATTATAAGACTAGGCCTACATGCAATATCGCCTGAAAAATCAGGACATCGTCATCTCTTAGGACCATATTCTGCACTTAATTTGTCACTTTCCCACGTTTTTTCTTCTATCTTTCTACAGTATTTTCTTACAGGCATTTTCACTTTCAAGGTTTCCTTCACTTTGACAGATTTCTCAACCCCGTTCCCTGAAGGCGAGGCATTGTGTTACATGAACATACTATTGTTTGAGTTTAGAGCCAGTAAATGAAAGAAAAACATTGTCATGTTTGGAGGACTTCTTTGCAATATAAAGTCTTTTGAAGTGAACAGCCTTTAAGGAAAAAAATGAACAAACTTGGTGGATGCGTTATCATCAGCTGGTCACGTGTCTACTGTACAGGAATTAAATAAATTGCTTATTAAATCTTCCGAGTTCAGTCAGAGTAAGGAAACTGAATGTACTGCATTTTGGTTAGATAATGAAAATCTTTTCTGTTTAAAATCTTCTTTAGCGCAATGCTGTGCAGAACTGCAGGGGAATCAACTGTGCGAGTTAACTACCAGCTTGCTTTTAAACAGTTAAATGTCATGTGGTGATGGTCCTGAAAAATTAGCTTTCACGGAGTGCAGAAGTATCTGTTGCTGGGTTTTCATGCGTGGCTAAGTTTCAGCCCATTAGACAGCTTCATTAATAACAGCTGGCTTGGTGCTCTACTAAAGCTAAAATGCTTCTGTCTCCTAATGCAACAGGAGCTAGAAGTGTGCATTTGAACTCCGTTACAGCAGTATCTCTTTAGCAATGCCGCTAAATTCTTCAGTAGTCTGTATATGAAGCTGTAACTTTTTCCATAAATTGAATTTTATTTCAGCTGATCAATATTTTATCCAAGTAGTGTCATTTTCAGCAGTTCTTGTAATTATTTTCAGAGGGTATTTTTTAAGCTTTTGCATTATAAAGCATTTGATACTGGCCACACTTCAGGATTTTTTTCTGCTTTACCCAGTTTTGAGATCAAAGATGAAGCATATGGATTATATGAAACCTGAAGATTATAGATTGGTTTTCACTGTAATTTTGGAAAGAAGTTTACCTTTATTTCTGCATAGAAAGTCTTGACGCTTCCATTATGCAGTTAAACACGTTCCTTATTTTCTTCTGCAACCCCTTGTACTCTTTGAATTTTGATTTCACAATGTGTTCTTTAATTTTTTTTTTTTCCATAATACATGCCTGACTGACTGAACTATTTAAGGGGAATTACTTTCTGTTGTAATTTCTAAGAGGGTTTTATGTTACGAATAGGCTGGTCCTTACCCTAAAGAGGCTAGGAGGTAAGCATGTAAGAGGTAAAGGTTGTAAAATGTTAACATTTACTGTGAAAAATTGATGCTACTTTGTTGAACAGGAACCACAGTGTTAAATATTTTTGATAGCAGGAAATGTTTAGTTGCTGATTCAATAGAAAAGATTAATGAAGGGAACATCCATCAATTAAGGAGAAATACATCATCCAATAAAAGGACCTAACTACTGAAGTTGAGCAACAGAATGTTATCAGCAATGTAGAGGCTGTGAACTTCTTGTTTTGCATTGAGAGTGTAGAAGAATGTTATCGGAGCTGAGACAGGAAGGTCAAGAATTCAGCTGAATTTGAAAAAAAATCCTCAAGAATTAACTTGCACAGCGAACATGTCCTAGCAGAGGCACTTCTTCCCCTGTGTTGAAGTCAGCATTCCTCTCTAACGTTTTTTTTCCCATGAGGTGATAAAATCTCATTTATTTCAACTCCCAGAAAACAGGCCTTTAGATTTTACAAAGCCCTGACTCCGTTGGAAGTGCTGCATTGGTACTTTTGTTTAACATTACTCTAGTGACATTACTCCAAGTTACACATATTCAGGCTTGTGTGTGGCAGATGTGGTCATTTAGTCCGAGTGGTTCATAAACCCTTGTCTTCAGTTTGAGAATGACACTGGTTATGTGTAGTTATGCTGTGGGTTGCCACTGGTGAGCGAACTGGTGTGATTTGTGTAATTTATATCTGAAAGAGGAAGTATTTGGGGATCAAGGACTTTTCTTGTATTTATAGGACTTCGCTAAGTCTTTAGTTGTAGTTCAGTATTCGGCCGCATGTATTTCAAGAAGTGGTGTAATCATCATTGCCATTTTGGCCATTCTTAAGGTCATGAAGCATAAAGTTTTGAGGAGATGCTATTTCTATGAAAGACGTCACTTGCTTCTTTAATGAAGCAGTGTGCTTTCATCAGGTAGGTCTATGAACCTTAATTTGCAAATGTCCTTTTGAGTGGTGATGGCAATAGCCATCAAAATACAATTTACTTTGTTTTTTATTCCCTGAAATAAGACCTAGAGATACATTCAATAAAGGGCTTGGTATATAGAGTCAGGCCTTTCTCTTGTTTTCTCTCATCACCTGAATCTTGTGTTCTTTACTGCCTGGTGACATAGCTGCAAGAGAAAGATTAAGGTGTGCCCTTACTTAAAATAATATATAGCTTGAGATCTGTAATTTGCTTATATATAAATATATATCATGAAGCTTTTGTAAGTTGCTTTCCTAGCATCAGAATATTCAGAAATTGCATGTTGTCATATTTAGAATATCAATAGGTCATTGTAGGAATTAATGGAGTAGTAAATTGGTAGACCTTGTCCAAATTTTAGACATTCTTTGTATGCAAGCGCTAAAGAAAGTGCTGATACATTTTTGTGCCTTCTACTAGGAGTGATGAGGAAAAAATAATTGACAAGACAGGTAGAAAAAAAATCTGAAAACTAAGGTCAACTATGAGATAAGAGAGAAGCAGCATAGATGTCGCCATTGAATTATGTGGGAAGGAAAGATACTGCAAGAAAAAATTATCTCCCGAAGTATCTGATGTTACTGCAAATTTAGGGAATTTTAACGACTAGATGAAATGCAATTTGCCACCAATTCTTGACTGGGACCGTCTGGGGAAAGACAATATGAGTTGGCAAGTCTTGTAACAGACTTTTTCTCTGAGTGATCAGTACCTATTATTCATGACTAGAAATTACACCTTG